CTTTGGCCTGCCGTGGGGACCCCCGGCTGCTCCCCCAGTGTGCCTGCTGCCACGCGGGCTGCGGGGCTTGGGCTTTGCTTGCCCACGTCCCCGGTGCGGTGGCCCCTCAGCACCTGTGCCACGCACTCCAGTCGCACCAGACGCTTGCCGTGCACCCCCCAGCAAGCTGTGCTGCAGCACTGGCCGAGCCCCCTGCCCCGGGTCCGGTCAGAATTAAACAAGGATTGGCCCGCTCAAATACCCAAGGTTTGAAAACAACATGCGCACTGTATTACTTCTGAAGGTTTCTTGTGGTATTTCAACACCTTACGGTCTTGGTCCTCTCACAAGCTGCTGTTCTTTCATCTTCAAAATTTGTCACCGGTGCCTCGCCCCCTCCACAGAGGGGGAAAATAGCAGAGCCCGCGCTTTCTGCTCCTTGCTCAATTTGTGCTCGCAGCCAACAGCTAAGGAGAGCATCAACCACCCAGCATTTCACTGGATATGACTGCAATCTTCGTGCACGGACAGAAAGGTGCTGGCCTCTCACTTTCCCATGCCCCATCCAGGTGCTGAGGTGTTTCAAGCCACCAGAAACAGGATGAAAGCAAGCACGTCAGACTGCTCAAGCTGTAAGTTAGCAATGCAAACAAGCAACACAAAAGGCTCAAGTTTATTTTCTTGGCATGCCTGCTACTGGAAACACAGGCTAACAGGTCTTTCAGAATCTATTTAAAACCCCCAATTACTTTTCCCTTTGGCTGCCACCTAGTATGTCAAATTTTTACAGTGGAATTAAAATGTCCCCAAGACACATGCTTATGTAATGGAAATGATGACAAGTCCCTACCTATATGAACTGGGAGTTACTGTACCAAATAACTGTTTCCCTCAGGGTCTTGTTTTGTCATAAAAGGAAGGGCTTAGCATCCACTATTGCTAAGATTTACAAATTCACCATTTTCCTGAAAAATACACTAGGAGTATGGAGTGACTTCTCCAGGAGTACAACAGAAATGCACAGATTATTGCACTGGTCTATATTTAGCACTTATGGCACATCAGTGGCTTGCAGCCTGGTAAGAAAGCCTGTTAACTCTACATTTTGGTTGACTTTCTGCCCAACAGCTGGAGCTGAAGCCGCGTGCTGGCCACATAGAATGACACACGTAAGTAAGTGAGCTAACGAACTATCAGCGTACGGAGTTGGCTAAAAGATGCAAAGAAAGGTAACACTTGACAGCTGCTGGCCAAGGGAAGCAGAACACAGGAACACGCTGGGGCGGGAGCCTAAGGCAGAGGAGAACAGCATCAACCTTGCTGCCTGCTGCATCAGTCCGGAAGGAACCTGGACATGCCCGGCTGGAGCTGGCCTAGAGCTGTACGTAACTTCTAGGTCTCCATTCTAACCTCCACACCAGATACTGCTGACTAATATGTGGCTCTGTGTTGTTTTAAAAGGGCCATCTATATTGCTGCACATGGCTTTGCAGAGTTCCTACAGGGATTAAAAACCTTCAAAGATAACAACCCAGTGAGTTTCTCTGCTCTGCAAAAATCAGAAGGCCTGAATCCAGCATTTGGAAGTGAAATGCTTCCATAGAGAACATGGCCAAAGGCTGTAGCAAACCAGTTATTTCTGTGGTAGCTGACAGAGTAAAAGATTGTTAATTCAACAGTGCTGTTAAACCCCCCCCCCCAAAAGTTTTGTTCTCTCTGCTTCTGTGGCATTAAACCTGTTCACAATTCTGTTTAATTACGTTTTTCTCCGGTACATGTCCATCAGAGTGTAACTACTTAGAGCAGTATTTATATCTCTTACAAAGAGCATTACAGTTATTCAGTTTGCCATTTGATTTCAAATGCCTTAGTCTATATCGTGATTTCAGCAAAAATATCGAGACTGCTTTCTGTGTCATCTTCAGGCTCCAATTCTTCATTGTGATCCTCTGGAGAGGTGTGTACACTGTGTTCTTGAATGGTCTTCCTCTTTCTTCTGTGAATGTACACAGAGCGATTCTTCTCTGCCGCCTCAGAAGGCGAGTTGTTTGCACTGACGGCACTTTTCAAAGCTAACTCTAAGCCTTTGTGGAACCTAGAAAGAAACAATTGTATAGTTACCATTTTTGTAGGTTTGCTCAGGATCTGCAAAACTACTCTGAGAAACTAATGCTTTTCTAATACAATCAAAACGTGTTAAGAAAATCGTTACTAACATTGAAATGTTCTCGCCAATACTGGAAGAAAAATAAGAAATATCAGCACACATCCTCGTGTATGCCATGCCACTTCTCTTCTTCTGCTTGTATGTTAGAAATTAATTAGTGGATGTACTCACATGCCATTAAGACTGTTAATCTTGCAGAAACCATGAAATGGTATCAGGTTAAATGTCTGATGAACGATAGCATTAATGATCAGATGCACTGCGACCATCAGCAATTACTTTTAACTTTAGCAACTACAGAGATTTTCAATGGACATATAAAAAGAAACTGGTCTTAGTGCACGTAGGTGTCTCTCCAGCGTCCCTTTGATCCTCAGGCTCTTTGGCTCTTCTGCCAACGCTGCTCCTCAGCTGGAGGCAGACAAGCGCGTGTAACCTTCCACCACCCTCACACACCATCAGTTTGGGAAACTGTACACAGCATTTAGGGGATTAAAGACTGCACTGCAATCTGAATACTTCTCAACTGATTACCGTGATAGAATAACAAATGCTGTTATCATTAGAAAAAGAAACTTAAACCCTACTCAGTAACAGTCTGCAAACTCATATTGTTTATAGGTTTTTGCTTAAATAGTTTATAGTCTTCAGAGCTCAAAAAATTAACTGAAATTGTACTTTAGACTTTGGGGGCGTTGTCTTTTTTTTTTTTTTTTAACATAACCTCTCTGATGCATTTTTCACTTTTGGATTTAGATGTCATGAATATGATTGGTGTAATCTAACAAACCTGTCAATCCTCCTTATGTTTTCTTCCATTTTCCGATTAGCTATATGTATCAGAAATTCAATATATTCTTCGGAGACCATCAATTTCCCCTTGTGGATTAATGGAACTTCTAAGCAATGAGTGCTCCGGACAGCCTAAAAAAACACACAGAAGGATTTATCTAGAATAAAGTTTTTTTATTTTATGAAGGTTATTTAAACAATATGGGGAATTCATTAAAGGAAAAAAAAAGCCAAACCACTTATCCACACTATTGGTAGCTGTGAACTATTGGTTAGCGTGAACTAAAGCAGAAAGATGTTTCTTTGCTACAGCACACCCTGTGATAGTTGTTGATCGCATTACAATTTAGATCTTGGCTCATAAAAAAAACAAGCTTAAGAATAATGATATCATTTTGTTACGTTCCTTACAGGTTAAGTAGAAAAGTCCTTACCATCATAATTTTTCCTCCTCTGCCAACTGTAATACCAGAGTTCCTGAACCCAGAATCAACAGCCACCGAATGCTGCAGAACAAATAAATGCCTTAAACAGGTCTTGTAGACTTTTACAGCAAGAAATAATTACAGATGAGTTGCAATGCAGTTTATAATCTCAGTTTTGCAACTTACTCAAAATCATCTCCCCAAATTAATGAAATAATAGTTACATTACAATGTTCTTGAGATCAAATGGATGTAGTATCACAAACTGTGGTTTGTTTTCAAAGAACCACTGTCAATCTTCATTGTCTAATCTTAATCTATTAGCACAGATGGGATATTAACATCTCTCTGGGCACTGTACTATTCTATCTCGAAGAGCTGGTAACCACATAGACAGTCGTGCAGCACTTTCAGAGATAACAGTGTAGCAGTACTATAAAAAAGCTAATCAACTCTCTTCCACATTAACGAAGGAACAAACCCATCACAGATTACTCTCTGGAATCAGTGGGACAGCAGAAGGCAAAGGTCCTATTCAATTAGTTGAAGCACTGGAGCCAAACTGCCTGGCTGGTAGCAAAATGATGTCTAAAAAACCATCGCTTTTGGCCAGCGAAAGCAACCCAGGCTGCCTGGGAAAAATCTTTTACCAGGCAACCTGCTTCAGCTTGAAGGCTGAATCGTACTTGAGTAATTTTGTTTTCTAACAAGTAAAGCAAAATCTCTACTAATTTTAAAGCTGTGTTTTCTTCATCGGCTTACTTTCAGTAACCTAATTATTAAACATACAGCGCATCTGGGACTAGTGCTAAAACTTACTCAGGAGCCAATGCTTTTGCAGCAAGGAATGTAACAGAACAACAAGTTAACCCTGTTACTTGGCGTAATTTTACCAGAAGCTGTGCATCCTGCAGCTCTCGACACAGCACATGAAGAACGAATGGTTCAAACTTGAGCACAACGTCACCGGTGGCTTTCTCTAGTGCTGTCATCTGGAAAAGACACCAAAATATTTACATTAATACTGCAAGTATGTACTGTTACTACAAAAAAACCCCCAACAAACCCAAACCAAAAACCAACAAACAAACAAAAAACCCAACAAAAAAAAGCTAGTCAGTGTGTGAGACAAGCATTAAAAATGCACCAAATGAGTTCCAAGCAATCAGGCTTGTTCAGCTGCTTTTGATTTTTCATTGCTCATGATACATAGAAATTCCATGGATTCCCGTGATTCTGTTTGCTAAACTGATTAAGTTTGATAGAAATTCATCGCAAGATAAGACTTTAAAAAACCTGAAAAAGTGTGCTTCCCTATTTATTTCTTTGTACATTCAAACAAATCCATACAGTCAGTACAGCATGGGAAGAGAACTGTTTTACTGCAATCAGATGAAACCTGAGCAGGTTTTTTTTTTTTAAACCGTTCTTTAAAATCAAAGACATTTAGTTTCTGAAGTACATTTCTCAATTTCGGAAAACTTTCTTAGATTAAATTCATGGCCTAACATACTTGATCACATTTTAATCCTAGTTTAAATAACAATGCATAGCATACTGTGTAAGAGTTATTACGATAAAAAAGTCAGAGGTAGAAATTAGAGACATAAACCCACAAGACAAGGAAGAAAAGAAGAAGTAGCTTCAAAATTATAAAGTTTAAGAAATTACTTTCAGACCCCTCAGTTCCACTAGAAGGCTGAGATGCTAGTGGCAATTTTTCCTGGATTTGCAAATGTGGAGAAAGCTGTATGACGTTCTGCATGGCTTACTATTATAATTTCTCTACTTTTCTATGCTACCTTTATGCAGAGAAATCTTAGGGGCCAATATTACTTTCTTCCATTCAGAAAGGTCGCTTTGAGGCAGTTACATTACTTATTTCACTGTATGATTATTTAATCATAAGCACCATTTGCCCTCCCTTCTTGTTTGCCTTCACTCGCTTAATTCCCAGCACTAAAAAATTTGCTATGTTAACTTGAGAAATTTCAGCTGTTTTCCCATACTTTGTTGTTTTGTCTAGCCCTTCTCATTTTTCTTGTAAAATGAAAGTGTTCAATAAAATCTTCAGGAAATAATCACATTCACATGCTTTTTTAAGACATGATTGCATAAAAGAAAACTGCTGAAGTAACACTCCTTTAAACATTGAAAAGTATTTAGATGTATTTATGCAGCATCTCCTCCATAAAATGTTCTTATTTTAAGTTGAAAGCAGGTCTTCCTGAACGGCTAAGTTTGTAATTTGTGTGCCAGATTTAAAAAAAATGCCCAAGTAACCACAGCTGCACTAAAGCTGATGAGAAACAGAAACGATCAACATTGCATAATGCGGCGTTGTACAGAAATACCTAAGCTAACTTATTTAGCATTTGCCTGGGCCTGGAAAGGAGTCGTGCTGACACAGTGCTCCTCTGAGGTGAATTCACCCTGCCCGAGAGCGTGCTGGCACAGTCAAATAGCTCCCTTACCCAAAGCTGGGCTCTGCAGTTTGCCTGGTTCCTCTTGCGGTGCAGCACCAGCTGGCTGTGCAGGCTGCCGAGGGCCCCGCGCTGCGTAGTGCC